GGCTAAGAGATGTTATATCGGGTTTCAGTCTTCTGTTGGCTAGTGTCTATTTTGTGCTAGCACCTTGCTACTATAGCCTTGCAGTAGAGTTAAAGTTTGGAAAGGTGATGCCTCCAGATGTTCCTTTTGCTTAAGGTTGCTTGTATCTGGGGTCTTTTCAGTTCCAAAACAAACTGTAAATTGAATAATTTGGAAAAATTCTAGATCTGTGAAAATGATGTTGGTATTTTGATGGAGATTGCATAATCTGTTAAGTCATTTTGGATGGTATAGAATATTACCATGCTGTTTACTGATCCATGGAGCATGATATATTATTCCATCTGTTGTGTCACTTCCAATTGTTCAGTGTTTCATAGTTCTCTTTATAGAGATCTTTCATCCCTTGGTTAATATATTCCTAGGTGTTTATTTCTTTAGCTATTGTGAATGGCATTGAGTCTTTCTTTGACTCTAGGTTGACTATTACTGGTATATAGGAATGCTATTGACTTGTGACATTGATTCTGTAACTGGGCATTGCTGAATTATTATCAATTCCATGAGTCTCTTGGAGTTGTCTTTGTGGTTTTCTGGATATAAGATCATGTTGTCAGCAAAAAGCTACAGTTGACCTTCTTTTCCCTCTTGGACACCCTTTATCTTCTTTTCTTGTCTGATTGCTCAGGCTAGAACGTTCAGCATTATGTTGAATCAAGGTGGTGACAGTGGGTACCCTTGTCTTGTTCCAGTTCTTAGTGGAAATGCTTTGAACTTTTCCCATTCAATATGATGTTGGCTGTGGGATTGTAATACATGACTTTTATAATTTCAGGATATGTTCCTTCTATGCTTAGTTTTCTGAAGGGTTTTTTATCATGAAATGGTGCTGAATTTTGACAAATCATTTTTCTTCATCTATTGAGATAATCATCTGGTCTTTGTTTTCACTTATTCTTATGTGGAGAAACACATTTATTGATTTATGTATGTTGAACCATCCTTGTATCACTGTGATGAAGCCCACTTGGTCATGGTGGATTATTACTTTTTTATGTGCTTTTGAATTCAATGTGATAGTAATATTCTAGGAATTTAGAATGTACTGGCCTGTTGTTTTCTAATTTTCTTGTGTCCTCACCTTGTTTTGGTATCAATGTAATATTGGTTTATAGAATAATTTAGGAGCATTCCCTCCTTCTCAATGTTATGCAATAATTTCTGCAGTATGTGTACCAGCTGTTTTTTGGAAGTCTGGTAAAATTCAGCCCTGAATCCATCTGATCTGGGACTTTTCTTTGTTGGAAGATTTTTTATTACTGCTTCAGTCTCACTGATTGTTATTAATCTGTTCAGGAATTCTATTTATTACTCATTGTCTTGGGAGATGGTATGTTTCCAGGAATTTCTCTGTTTCCTCTATTTTTTCTAATTTATATGTGTAGAAATTTTCATAGTATTTATAGATTATATTTTCTTTTTCTGTTGTATCAGTGTAATACCTTATATTTAATTCTGAATGAGGCTCATGTGGTCCTTTCTTTTCTATTGCTGCCTAATCTAGGATGAGGTTGATCCATTTTGTTATTTTTCAATGACCAACTATTTTTCTTGCACCTTGTATTATTTTTGTTTAGTTCTGCTCTGACCTAGTTATTTCTTTTCTCTGCTGGCTTCAGTTGGTTTTGCTCTTCCTTTTCTAGTTCCTTGAAATGTGTCATTACGTTGTTAAAATGTGACCTTGCTGTCTTTTGATATAGGTCTTTAAGCTATGAATTTTCCCCTTAGGACTGCTTTACTGCATTCTACAGTTTTGATAGCTTCTATCCCCTTCGTTATTCAGTTAGAGGAATCTTTTGAGTTCCATATTAATTTAATTATTCATGCAATAATCATCCAGAAGCAGGTCAGTGATTTTGTGTAATTGAATGTTTCTCTTTCGTTCATTTCTGGTTTTATCCACTATGGTCTGAGACGATACATAGTATCATTTCTATTTTGTTGAATTTCTGAAAGATGTTTTGTAGCCTAAAATAGGTCAACCTTGGAGAATGTTCTATGTTCTGATAAGAACAATATATTCAGCTGTTTATGGATAAAATATTCTGTGTCTATTAGGCCTATTTATTCTAGAGTCACGTTTAAGTCCAATGTTCTTTTCTTTTCTTTTTCTTTTTTATTTCTGAGTATTATGGAGAGTACAAAATTTTGGTTACATTTTTTCTTTGCCTCACCCAAGCAAGGTTAGAGGCATCCCCTCCCCTCTAAATGCTCACCGAGTCTTTAGTTGTGAGTTTACTCCCGCAATCCCCTAATCCCGAAGAATGTTACTACCATGTGAGCACCATAGTGTTAATCAGTCAGGACCAATTTGATGCAAGTACAGGGAGCCTATTCTTCTGATCTTGTGATATCTCACTTCGAATAATGGCTCAAGCTCAGTCCAGGAAAATATAAGAGTGCTAGATCATTTTCATTTCTTAGAATTGAGTAATATTCCATTGTATACATATCTAATTTTAATAATCCACTCATGAACTGTTGGGCACTTGGGTTTTTCCACGTTCTTACAATAGTGAATTGTGCTGCCATAAACATTCGGGTGCAGATGTCTTTAGTATAGAATATCTTTTGCTCTTTGGGGTAGATGCCTAATAGTGTTCTTGCTGGATAGAATGGTATCTCTATTTTTAGCTATTTGAGGTATCTCCAAATTCTTTTCCACAGAGGTTGCACTAGTTTGCAGTCCAACCAGCAGTGTAAGTGTGTTCCTGTCTCTCCACATCCTCGCCAGCATTTGTTGTTTTAGGATTTTTCAACCCCATCAATAAATGGGCAAAGTAAATGAACAGAAGCTTTTCAAAAGAAGTCAGAATAATGGCCAGCAAACATATAAAAAAGTGCTCAA